CCCTCCCTCCATGCATCCACCCATCCCTCCACCTACCCATTCATCCCCCCACTTTTCCATCCATCCATCCACCCACCCACCCATCTTTCCATCCATCCATCAATAGACCCTTCCCCAATCTGGTGCTTTCAGGTGGACTTCATTCAACGCCAGTCCATGCTATCTTGAAAATTGGCAGGCTCTAAATCGGGGGGGGGGGGGGGGGGGACGGCCATTTTATGATCTCAGCTTCAATTGAACCAGGAATTCTGGGAGTTGAAGTCCACCAGTCGTAAAAGGGCCACCGTTCCCCCACCTCTGCTCTAAATCAAAATCCACCTGTCACTTGTGGCCTCCTTTTATGCACACACACCCCTCCCAAGCCCCCACAATCTCTCTTCGACGGCAAAAGATGGTGGAAACTGGCATACATGTTTTTAAATTTTATTTTCTTACAGCATGGACACAAACGAAGGATCCACAGGAAAGTGTTCAAAGCTTAGCTTCATGGAAATTCAGCTGGACCCATTCTGAACTCCTCCCGCCCCCAAGAGTTAACTCAGGGGTCTTCAAATGTGGCCCTTTGATGACTTGTGGACTTCAACTCCCAGAATTCCTCAGCCAGGCACGCGTGCCTGGCTGAGGAATTCTGGGAGTTGAAGTCCACAAGTCATCAAAGGGCCACGTTTGAAAGACCCCAGAGTTAAATAAAGTCATCATTTCTTCTGCCTGCCTTCAAATATCATCTTCAAGTCCATCTTCGCCATTAAGCATTTGACCTCAGCCGCCCAGCCTTACACCTATTTACAAGCTGCACTAATGAGGACTAGACGCTTGGCTAAGAGGAGGAAATAGAATTCCTTTCTGTCCATTCCTTCCTTGGAATTGAGTGCTACCCTTAATGCTCAATTAGATTATATAAATGCTGGGCTCGACGGAAATAACAGAATAAGAGGATAACAGAGTTGGAAGGGACCTTGGAGGTCTTCTAGTCCAACCCCCTTGCTGAAGCAGGAGACCCTATACCATTCCAGACAAATAACACAATAATAGAGCTGGAAGGGATCTTAGAGGTCTTCTAGTCTAACCTCCTGCTCAAGCAGGAAACCCTATACCATTTCAGACAAATGGTTGTCCAATCTCTTCTTGAAAACCTTCAGTGTTGGAGAACCCACAACATCTGGAGGCAAGTCGTTCCACTGGTTAAAATGGGGGGGAAAGACAGTTGTTTCTCTCTCTAGCACAGAGGTCCAAATAAATACTAGCCACCCATTTACGGCCCAGATCCTGACTAACTCATCTCCCATACTCTGAAGAGCAACTAAGATGATCTAAGCAAGGCCTGGAGACTAAAACATATGAGGAACGGCTGCAGGACTTGGGTCTGGCTAATCTAAAGAAAAGAAGAAATAGGGGAGACATGATAGCAACATTCCAGTATTTGAGGGGCTGCCACAAAGAAGAGGGGGTCACATTATTCTCCAAAGCACCAGAGGAAAGGATGAGAAACAATGGCTGACCAAAGAGAGAAGCAACCTGGAATTAAGGAGAAACTTCCTAACACTGAGGACAATTAACCAGTGGAACAGCTGGCCACCAGAAATCGTGGGCGCTCATACATGTCTAAGCAAAAAAATGTATTGATAAATGTGATAATGAAGTCTTAACTGAGCTTGACACAATTAGAAACTTGCTAGCTTAAATATGATAGAGCAAATGTTAAGGGAAACGCAGAAGAAATATTTGATGATGTAACCTGAGCTATGTACTAAAGATTTCTGTTATTGAACTTTTGACTAACCCAGTCACCCCGTTACTTTCCAAATATTCAAATATAAAACTGGAAAACCAATAAACTTATTTTAAAAAAAAGAAAAAGAAATCTGGAAGTTTTTAAGAAGAAACTGGGCAGCCATTTGTCCGAAATGGTATAGGGTTTCCTGCCTGAGCAGGGGGTTGGACTAGATGACCTCCAAGGTCCCTTCTAACTTTATCATTATTATTATTATTATTATTATTATTATTATTATTATTATTATTATTATTATTATAAATCGTGGGCGCTCCATCGCTGGAGATTTTTAAGAAGAGGCTGGACAGTCACCTGTCTGAGATGGTATATGTTTTCCTGCTTGAGCAGGGGGTTGGACTAGATCAGGGCTTTTCAACCAGTGGTACGGGTACCACCTGTGGTACATTGGCACCTGGCAGGTGGTACGCGACCATCCTAGAAAAGTGGTAGCGGGGGAGGGGAATGAGCTGAACCGGTGGCAGCACCGCACAAGCCTGAGCGAGAGACGGCTGGAACTGCAGGGCTGTCAGGGCTCAGCGGAAGCGCCAGGATCAGTGCCATTTTCCAGCTGATTGGCACTTCTTCGGGACTGTCAGGGCTCAGTGGAAGCGCCAGGATCAGTGCCGCTTTCCAGCTGATCGGCGCTTCTTCAGGACTGTCAGTGCTCAGTGGAAGCGCCAGGATCAACACTAGGCTCCAGATGGAGCTCGGTGCTGATCCTGGCGCTTCTGCTGAGCCCAGAAGAAGCGCCGATCAGCTGGAATGTTGCAGCCTCTCCAGGGTCTTGTGATTTACATTCCGATGCTTGGCAACTGATTCGTATTTATGACGGTCACAGTCTCCCAGGGTCATGTGAAGTGACCAAAACCTGCTGCAACCGCCCAGCAGACGGGGGGAATAAAGACCAAACACCCCCCACCCCACCCCCACTGCCAATCCTCAACAGAAATGCCTCACAACAATGAAAACCTCGGACAGGAGGAAGAGCGCGGCCGGGTGGGCAGGCAGGTGTCTTGCTCGGCTGTGGCTTGGGGGGGAGCTTTTTTCAGTGCCATTGTAACTTCGAACAGTCACTAAGCGAACTGTTGTAAGTCGAGGACTACCTGTACTTTATCACTTTTTTCCTTTTGGGGGGGTCATCAAGTTTTTGACACTTTGCTAGGCGACTGGTGGTACTCGGATATTGCCCTATCCCAAAAGTGGTACAATGGGTGAAAAGGTTGAGAAGCCCTGGACTAGATGACCTCCAAGGTCCCTTCCAGGTTCTGTTCTGTTCCGTTCCATTCCATTCTATTTTGATTGCAGTTCTGAATCAAAGCAGAGGTCTAAGATGAATTTCCTTGGAAATTAGCACAATGGATCCCCGGAGCCCTGGGAAGGAAAGTGGCCCCCTCCCCAAGGATCTGGGTCCCTTTGGGGAGAAGGAAAGATGGATCCGAGTAGATTCTCTCTCTCTCTCTCTCTCTCTCTCTCTCTCTCTCTCTCTCTCTCTCTCTCTCTCTCTCTCTCTCAGCAAGCTTTTAGCTTTCCTGTTTCTCTTTCCACAGGGACTGAAGTTCCCCTCTTGGAAATTGGGACTCCTTCATCTGACCTTTTGGGAGAAGGCCTCCAGCATCATGGAGTGGGGGCTGGGGGGCATTGTAGTTGGGGAGGAAGGGCTGCAAAACTTTTAGGGCAACTTGCCCAACCCTTCAGAGGCTCACAGGGATGTCCGCAGGGTGTGGTCAAAGAAGATGGTGGTCCCAAGGAGGCCATCAACGCTCTGTTGTGGTCAACACCTGGAGACACTTGACTACGCCTTGTGGACAGCCCTGGAGACTTTGCCTCTCCTTACTCCTAGTTCTTCTCTTGGGGGGCCTTCTCAGACCCCGCTAACAGCTCCTTCAAGGCCCCCATCGCCTCTGTGGACTCTCCCGGGTCCTCCTCAGTTGCCTTCTCCATCCTCTTTGCCCTCTTAGCTGCCACCTTCTCCAACGAGGGTGCCCTGGCCTCTTTGCCTGTCTCCTTCAGCTGCACTGTCCTGCTCTCCTCCCGGGGGGTCCCGGATCCTCCTTCCTGGGATCGGAAGGGCCCCACGATCCAATTCAGAGGGGTGATCTGGATGAGGTGTTCGGCCAACGTGTGGAGAACCTCTCGGGCGTGGGAGATCACCTCCTGGCTCTGGGTGAGGAGGCCGGAGGGCAGATCCCGGAAGGACTCGGCGGAAGAGAAGGAGCGATGGAGCTGCTGGAAGTTACTCTGAGTCTGGTCCACTCTTTCCCGGAGGTTCCTGGGCAGCACTTCCACGGTGGACATCAGCCAGGTGTAAGCAGGACTCAGGTCTTGGATGAGGGATCGCAACATGGCCAAAGTCAACGGCTCGACCTGCGGAGGACAAATTTGGTGCATCACCAACATGAGCACAGCTTTGCGATTGTGACTTTGTGATTGTGACTTGCACCGAACCAGTGTTTTTCAAACATGGCCTCTTGAAGGTGGGGGGACTTCAACTCCCAGAATTCCCCAGCCAGCATTCTGGGAGTTGAAGTCCACCTATCTTCCCCAGCCGGCTATGCTCCTGGCTTCTGCAGGGAAGGTCAAAGTGGAGAACAAGCCGATAGAGATAACATTGAAGTACACACTGACGTACACACCCCTGTGGTCTCTATGACAATCTTTCTCAATCTCAGTAACTTTCAGATGGGCGGGCTTCATCTCCCAGAATTCCCCAGCCAGCATAGCTGGCTGGGGAATTCTGGGAGTTGAAGTTCACGTATCTTAAAGCAGCCAAATTTGGAAAGAAAAAAACCTGCAATGAACAATAGTTTAACATGCAATAAATCCACCTAGTCATAAATCGAGAATTACTTGTACTTGAAAGCATAGAATACCTGCTGTGGCGTGTTTTCTTTCTTTCTTCTTTCCTGATCCTCTTCCGGCTGAATTTGGGTCCATTTAAGCAAAATTTGGTTAAGTTTCTGTTGTGCTTCCTGGAACTGACTCCCGGCGCTGTTTTTCACGTGTTCCACCTGCCAGCCAAGCAGAAATCAAAACAATTTAAGAAAGCAGTGTAATACTATTCAGCTTGTAACCCGATGCAGGCAGTCCTCGACTCACGACCGTAAATTGAACCTGCAATTGTAAATCGCGTTTGTAATAATAATAATAATAATAATAATAATAATAATAATAATAATAATAATAATAATAATAATAAAAAAAGTTGGAAGGGACCTTGGAGGTCTTCTAGTCCAACCCCCTGCTCAGGCAGGAAACCCTATATCATTTCAGACAAATGGCTGTCCAGTCTCTTCTTAAAAACTTCCAGTGTTGGAGCATTCACCGCTTCTGGAGGCAGGTAGTTCCATTGGTTAATTGTTCTATCTGTCAGGAAGTTTCTCCTTAGTTCTAGGTTGCTTCTCTCCTTGATTAGTTTCCATCTGTTGCTTCAAGGAGACAAGCAACCTGGAACTAAGGAGAAACTTCCTGACAGTTAGAACAATTAACCAGTGGAACTCCTGAAGGTCTAGCACTGGGGTGACGGTGCGCGTGCCCAGAGAGAGGGCTCTGAGTGCCACCTCTGGCACCCGTGCCATAGGTTCGCCACCACTTCCCTATACCATTTAAGACAAATGGCTGTCCAGTCTGTTCTTAAAAACTTCCAGTGTTGGAGCATTCACAGCTTCTGGAGGCAAGGAGTTCCACTGGTTAATTGTTCTCACTGTCAGGAAGTTTCTCCTTAATTCCAGGTTGCTTCTCTCCTTGATTAGTTTCCATCTGTTGCTTCTTGTCCTGCCTTCAGGCGCTTTGGAGAATAGCTTGACTCCCTCTTCTTTGGGGCAGCCCCTGAGATACTGGAACACGGCTATCATGTCCCCCCTCTTCATTAAACTGGACATACCCAATTCCAGCAACCATTCCTTATATGTTTTAGCCTCCAGTCCCCTAATCATCTTTGTTGCTCTTCTCTGCACTCTTTCTAGAGCAGCGGTTCTCAACCTATGGGTCCCAACCCCATTTGGGGTCGATCGACCATTTCATGGGGGTTGCCAAGCAAGGCTGTCCGCCATTTTTCCCCCCTTTTCCGGCGGGTGCCTTACCTCCCTTGGGCTGGGCCAGCTGGTGGTCGGCCTGCTCCGTCTCTGCCGCTTGCCAGCTACGCCCCGGCTGGCGCAGGGGGCAGAACCACGCATGCGCGGCGCTCCCGGGCAGGGAAAGTCCTCGACTTACGACCGGTTGGGTAGTCCTCGACTTATGACCGGTTTAGTCCTCGACTTACGACCGGTTGGGGGTCACAGCATTAAAAAGGTTGAGAACCACTGTTCTAGAGTCTCAGCATCTTTTTTACATCGTGGTGACCAAAACTGGATGCAGTATTCCAAGTGTGGCCTTATAAAGCAGGTCGTTGCACATCGGAACATGACCCCACCCCAAACCCCCAATGACCACCTGGATGCTGCAACCGTCGCTAAGCGTAAAAGATGGTCATAAGTCACTTTTTTCAATGCCATTCTAACTTTGGATGGTTGCTAAACGGACTGTTGTACGTCAAGGATTACCTGTCCCTTGGATTGCACTGCATCCTGGCTGATTTGAACCCAGGGCCGGCTTACCAGGTTAATCACATGCTGGAGCTGGGCGAGCATGTCCTGAGTGTTTTCCTGGACCACATGAAGCCGGTTCAGGGAATGTCGGTAGACCCGGGAACGGAGTTTGCTGGAGAGGGACCCCAGGCGGACGAAATAGCTCTGCTCCCTCTGCTGCTGGTCGATGGCGGCCTGGCTGACGCCGTGGACCTCCGTGGCCAGCTGGGCTGCAGGGAGGACAAAGCAGGTGTGAACAGATCCCCTCCCTGCCCAGGAAGGATCAGCACACACCCCCCCCAGGGCTTTAAAAACATCCTGAATTCATCCCAGCCTTTTCATCTTCAAATTTTACGTGGTCAGATTCCCTCGTTTGCCTGCCTTATGGGTCGCCTATGGATGAGAGTGCTCGCCCACAAGAAAGGGAGGGAGGGAAGGAAGGAAGAAGGGAAGGAAAAAATGAAAAAGAAAGAAAGGAAGGAAAAAATGAAAAAGAAAAAGAAGGAAAGAAAAGAAAAGAAAAGAAAGGAAGAATGGAAGAAAGAAAGAAAGAGGAAGGAAGGAAGGAAGGAAGGAAGGAAGGAAGGAAGGAAGGAAGGAAGGAAGGAAGGAAGGAAAAAATGAAAAAGAAAGACAGAAAGAAAAAGAAAGGAAGGGAGGAAAAATGAAAAAGAGAAAGAAAAAGAAAAAAGAAAGGGAGGGAGGGAGGGAGGGAGGGAGGGAGGAAGGAAGGAAGGAAGGAAGGAAGGAAAAAATGGAAAAGAAAGAGACAAAGAAAAAGGAAGGAAGGAAGGAAAAATGAAAAAGAGAAAGAAAGAAAAAGAAAAGGGAGGAAGGAAGGAAAAAATGGAAAAGAAAGAGACAAAGGAAAAGGAAGGAAGGAAAAATGAAAAAGAAAAAGAAAGAAAAAGAAAAGGAAGGAAGGAAGGAAGGAAGGAAGGAAGGAAGGAAGGAAGGAAGGAAGGAAGGAAGGAAGATGGGTAGACAGATTTTGGGAGAACTGATTTCAGGCGCCCCTAATCCAGGGCCTTATTGACTGATTGTATACATTTATATAGACAGTCCTCCACTTTTGACCATCATTGAGCCTGGCAATTTGGGTCAAGCGGTCTCAAAGTGGGCCACCAGGTGAACAAACCTATTTTTAGGATCTCTTTTGTGCTGGTGGCTAAGTGAACAACATGCTTGAGAAGCCAAAAAGCACTTGCAGGGAGACCAAAATCCTCCTGCAGTGGAGAAGGTAAAAAACGCTCTCCTATCCGCGGGGACTGCTCCTCCTGGTTGAACCTGCCCATCACGCTCCTTACAACTTGAGGGTCTGCTACGTGACCGGACCTGTGCTTAGAAACTATTTTACGGCAGTTGTTAAGCGAATGGGGTGGTTGTGACAGTGGTGATTGCGGGCAGTCCTCGACTTACGACCACAACTGAGCCCCAAATTTACGTCGCTAAGCGAGAAATTTGTTCAGTGAGTTTTGCCCCATTTTCCTTTACATTTATTTATTTATTTATTTATTTATTACTTTAATTTATATCCCGCCCTTCTCCCGAAGGACTCAGGGCGGCTTACAGGCAATAAAAACGGAACTATACAATAAATATCTAAAAACAATTAAAATATATATTAAATAAGCCTGTTATTTTTAGAAAAGTTATAAAATCCCTATTAAAATCCCTATACAATCCCCCCCCTNTGGAGCGCTTTAAATGTGGTAACCAACACCTTGAAGCGCACCCGGAAGGCTACCGGCAGCCAGTGCAGCTCACGCAAAAGCGGTGTTATATGGGAGCGACGAGTCCCTCCCAACACCGCCCGCGCGGCCGCATTCTGGACTAGCTGGAGCCTCCGGATGCTCCTCAAGGGGAGCCCCATGTAGAGAGCATTGCAGTAGTGACACAGTTGCTAAGTGAATCTGGCTTCCCCATGGCTTGTCGCAAAAGGGGATGATAATAATAATAATAAAGTTGGAAGGGACCTTGGAGGTCATCTAGTCCAACCCCCTGCTCGAGCAGGAAAGGCCTATACCATTTCGGACACATGGCTGTCCAGTCTCTTTTTAAAAACCTCCAATGTTGGAGCATTCACCGCTTCTGGAGGCAAGGAGTTCCACTGGTTAATTGTTCTCACTGTCAGGATGTTTCTCCTTAGTTCTAGGTTGCTTCTCTCCTTGATGAGTTTCCATCCATTGCTTCAAGGAGAGAAGCAACCTAGAACTAAGGAGAAACTTCCTGACAGTTAGAACAATTAACCAGTGGAACCACCTGCCTCCAGAAGCGGTGACCCCGGGACACTGCGACCGTCGTAAATATGAACCGGTTGTCAAGCATCGGAATATAAATCACGTGACCACGGGGGAATGCTGCAACGGTCATTCAGCGTGGAAAAACGGTCGTAAGTCCCTTTTTTGGAGCGCCGTTGTAACTTTGAATGGTCACTAAATGAACTGTCGTAAGTCGAGGATGGCCTGGATTGGGTAATCAAAGGTGTGGTATTGAAGAACGTGGCGCCTCTGCTCTTACCGAGCTCTTCTTCAGACACAGGAAGATAATAGTCCACCATCTGCTCCGTCTTATCCAACATGGTGTCCACCCCGCTGGCCACGGCTTGCCGGAACAACGTGGCCATCTCCACCCCTTCCTGGAGAGCCCCCGAGCTCTGCATTTGACGGGCGGCGTTGACCGTGGTGGACACTACCGATCGGGTCAGGTCAACGCCTTCATTGAGGGTCTGCTTGCCCAGCTTGACCACGTCAGCCGCCCGGTGAGTCATGAGACCCTTGGCTCCACTGGCGGCGCTCCGGGCCGTGCTGACGGTGGAGTTCACCACGGATTTGGTCAAGGTGATGCTGTCCTGGACAATGTCCTTGGTCAGGCTGACAGCGGCGGTCACTTTCTGGGTCACGCGGCCCTTGGCTTCGCCGGCCGCCTGGACGGTGGAAGAAACCACCGTCTTGGTCAAGGTGACGCCGTCTTCAAAGACCTAGAAGGAGGAGGAGGAGGAAGGTCAAAGGCCGAGCGAGAATCATTGGGTGGGGATTCAGGAGCAAGGAAGTCCGAGATGGGAAGGTCTCAGGCACTTTCATATCCCAAAGATTTGGGACGCTGGGATGGGTCCAGCAAGGATGGCCGGTCATCTGAGATAACCTGCAAATGAATTCATCTATGTATGCCCCAAAATCTCATTTTAATGTATGCTGATTAGTACATTTAAAATGACAATAATGTTATTATTCTATTCTATTCTATTCTATATTCTATTCTATAGTATATTCTATTCCATTCCATTCTATTCTATATTCTATTCTATATTCTATTCCATTCCATTCCATTCTATATTCTATTCTATTCTATTCTATTCTATTCTATTCTATATTCTATATTCTATATTCTATATTCTATATTCTATATTCTATATTCTATATTCTATATTCTGTTCCATTCCATTCCATTCCATTCTATATTCTATTCTATTCTATTCTATTCTATTCTATTCTATTCTATTCTATATTCTATTCTATTCTATTCTATTCTATTCTATTCTATTCTATTCTATTCTATTCTATTCTATATTCTATTCTATATTCCATTCCATTCCATTCTATTCTATTCTATTCTATTCTGTTCTGTTCTGTTCTGTTCTGTTCTGTTCTGTTCTGTTCTGTTCTATCCTGTCCTGTCCTATCCTATCCTATCCTATCCTATCCTATCCTATCCTATCCCATACTCTATTTTATATACTATCCTATCCTATATTCTATTTTATATACTATCCTATCCTATTCTATATTCTATTCTATATCCTGTCCCATCCTATCCTATATTCTATTCTATATCCTACCCTATCCTATCCTATCCTATATTCTATTCTATATCCTATCCTATCCCATATTCTATCTTATATCCTATCCTATCCTATCCTTGTACATTTTTGTGCAAAAAGCAGGGAATGGTTGAGTGGAAAACTCCAATTAAAATCAGAGAATGACTCTGGAGCCACTGAGTAAAATATACAAAGAGTCCTCCACTTACAACCGATCACTTAGCGACCATTCAAAGTTACGACCTACCTGAAAAAATTGAGTTACAACGCAGTTCTAAAGTTCCGATGTCACTCCCCCCTCAGCGGTAATCTTCAACTTAGGATTGTAACGGAGTCTGCCGATTACAGTTGTATGTTGTGACGGGTGTAAGTCGGGTCGGTCAAGTGGCTGTGGTTTATGACCGTTTTGTCAAAAAAAAGGGACATTACATCCAGTTTTCAGCAAAACTGTGCCCATAGCCAACCGTGGGTTCGCTTAATGATGGCAGTGTTCATTTAACGACTGCAGCGTTCACTTAGTGGCTCCCTCAAAAAGGTTGCAAAATCAGGTGGATCGCGTGAGTGACCTGCTTTATGACCGTCACAACTTGTGACTGTAATGGACTGGCTTCGTTACGGTTGTGTGTTGAGGACTATCTGTATTTGCAAGAATACGGTGAGTCTGCGGGGTTCTGTAAAATGGACGGTTTTCCTGCAGACGTTTCATTCCCCTGCTAGGTCACGTCATCAGTGTAAGGAGGAGTGAAGATTGCGGATATCCCAAAGGTGCTTTTTTTTTTCAGGAGGCAACTGGACTTTCTTGTTTTTCCTTTGAAGATGTTTTGCTTCTCCTCCAAGAAGCTTCCTCAGCTCTGACTGGATGGTGGGGAAGGATTTATACTCCTTGCAGACAGCCGGTCATTTGCATCCTTTTAGAGAGTCGTTGAGGCCACTTGGAGGTTTATCTGTGATACGACATCTTCCATCTCCAGTCTACAACACGGTCCTTTCAGCAGTTCCAAGAAGGGTTTAATAATAATAATAGTTGGAAGGGACCTTGGAGGTCATCTAGTCCAACCCCTTGCTCAGGCAGGAAACCCTGCACCATTTTGGACAAATGGCTGTCCAGTTTCTTCTTAAAAACTTCCAGTGTTGGAGCATTCACTGCTTCTGGAGGCAGGTTGTTCCACTGGTTAATTGTTCTCACTGTCAGGAAGTTTCTCCTTAGTTCTAGGTTGCTTCTCTCTTTATCTGTGTCACCTGAGTAGTGCAAATGGCTGAGGACACAGACAAATCTCCAAGTGGCCTCAAGGACTCTCTAAAGGATGCAAATGACCAGCTGTCTGCCAGGAGTATAAATCCCTCCATTTCCCACCATCCAGTTAGAGCTGAAGAAGCTTCTTGGAGGAGAAGCGAAACGTCTTCAAAGAAAAACAAGAAAGTCCAGTTGTCTCCTGAGTGCCTGGATGACTGAGTATCTCCCGAGACATTAAGTTTGCTGATAGTTTTTCTATCATGATCTCTTTACAGATATTATAATAGATTACAAGTTCTTGATAGATAGGAATTCGGCCAGCTCTGGGGTGGAGTTCCTTCACTGCTCCTTTATCAGATTCAGTTTCTTGTTTATCCAGATGTTAATTGCTGGGGGGAAAAATATGTTGTGCCCTGTTTCTTTCCTCCCTTGTCTTTTAATTGTACCTTTTAAAAAGAATCTCTGGAATCATAGGGTTGAAAGGGAGCTCTGAGGTCATCTAGTCCAACCCTCTACTGCAGTGGTTCTCAACCTGTGGGTCGGGACTCCATTTGGGGTCGATCGACCATTTCATGGGGGTCGCCAAGCAAGGCTGTCCGCCGTTTTTTTTGTCCGCCATTTTTTTTGTCTGCCATTTTTCCCCCCTTTTCCAGCGGGTGCCTTACCTCCCTTGGGCTGGGCCAGCTGGTGGTCGGCCTGCTCCGTCTCTGCCGCTTGCCAGCTACGCCTTGGCCGGTGCAGGGGGCAGAACCACGCATGCGCGGCGCTCCCGGGCAGGGAAAGTCCTTGACTTACGACCGGTTGGGTAGTCCTTGACTTATGACCGGTTTAGTCCTCGACGTACGACCGGTTGGGGTCGTGGCATTAAAAAGGTTGAGAACCACTGCTCTACTGATTCACTATATGACGAAAACTCCAGTGACGAGGAAGGAACCTCTCCTTGCCGTAACCTCTTCCACTGAGGGAGAGATCTAACCATAAAAAAGGTCCTATCAACATCTAATCTATATCCAGATTCTTGAATTTTTGCCTTATTTATTTATCCTCTGGAGCAAGTGAGAAGCAGTCCTCGATTGAAGACCGTTCAAAGTTGTGACGGCTCTGAAAAAAAGTAACTTAGGACTGTTTTTCATACTTACGACCATGGTCACGTGATCAAAATTCAGACACTTGGCGACTGATTCGTATTTATGAAGGTCGCACTGTCCCCGGGGTCACGCGATCCCCCTTTTGTGACCTTCTGACAAGTAAAGTCACTGGGGAAACCAGATTTGCTTAATGACAGGGTTGCTAACTTAATAACCGCAGTGATTCACTTAAGAAACATGGCAAGAAAAGTTGTAAAATAGGGCAAAACTTTCTTAACATATTTCTCACTTAGCAACGTCAATTTTGGACTCAGTTGTGGTTGTAAGTTGTGGACTATTAAAGTTTCAACCCTCTAGAGTGGGGGTGGGGGACAACTACAGGCATGGCCCTTTTATGACTTGTGGACTTCAACTCCCAGAATTCCTCAGCCAGCATGGCTGAGCGTGGCTGGCTCAGGAATACTGGGAGTTGAAGTCCACAAGTCATAAAAGGGCCATAGTTTCTCACGTCTGCTCTAGAGTAGGGGTCTTCAAACTTGGCCCTTTTATGACACGTGGACTTCAACTCCCAGAATTCCTCATCTGGCTGATGAATTCTGGAAGTTGAAGTCCACGTGTCATAAAAGCAATGTTTATGTCCACAACTCTAGAGCAATGTTTCTCAACCTGGAGGAACTTTAAGATGGGTGGACTTCAACTCCCAGAATTCCCCAGCCAGCAAGGTGCATTGTGGGAACTTTGCTAATTTATGTTACCTGGTAAGTTGGTTGATGAAGAATTGGCAGTTTTTTCTCCAGCTTGTCCAAACCCTTGCAAGCATAGTCGTTCATGGTTGCAACTAGGAAGGAAGAAAAAAAAACATTTTTAAACTTTTGGCCTTAAGTCAAACCAGCCTCACACTATGTTTCCGTCTGAAACAGTTGCAGGACTTGGGTTTGGCTAGTCCAGGGGTAGGCATCCTTGGCTCTTTTATGATTCGTGGACCTCAACTCCCAGAATTCCTAAGCCAGCTCAGGAATTCTGGGAGCTGAAGTCCACCAGTCATAAAAGAGCCAAGGTTGCCTACCCCTGGGCTAGTCTAAAGAAAAGAAGAAATAGGGGAGACATATAGCAGTGTTCCAGTATCTGGGGGGCTGCCACAAAGAAGAGGGGGTCACGTTATTCTCCAAAACACCAGAGGGAAGGACGAGAAACAATGGATGGAAATTGATCAAGGAGAGAAGCAACCTGGAATTAAAGAGAAACTTCCTGACAATGAGGACAATTAACCAGTGGAACAGCTTGCCACCAGAAATTGTGGGTGCTCCATCACTGGAGATTTTTAAGAAGAGGCTAGACAGTCACTTGTCTGAGATGGTGTAGGTTCTCCTGCTTGAGCGGGGGGCTGGACTAGAAGACCTCCAAGGTCCCTTCCAGCTTTGTTCTATTCTTATACTAGATTAAAAAGAAAACACGTACCTAATATATTATGATTTATTTAAAATTATTTAGGCCTGACTCTTGTTGCAAAGAGCCAAAATGGTACAATCTATTTGGCTGAAAACATCCTAGTTTATAAAAGAAAAGGGGATTGGGTTTATTTGTAAAGCAGGAGTTAAAGGGAGAAAAGATGGGAATTCTAAATGTGCTCAGATTTCTAAACAGGCTAGTTTCAGCAGTTTGCAAACAAGGATTGTTGTTAAAAGGTTTTCCCTGGATATTTTACAGAACTGCGTAGACTGAGGGCCTTTGAACTTTGCTCCAGAGAGGAACGGGTTGGAGTAGATGACCTCCAAGGTCCCTTCCAACTTTATTATTATTATTATTATTATGGATCATCGCACAGTCAGCCAGATGTTCAGACTGGATTTGGCATTTTTGTCTACCTATCGAGTCCTTCCCAAGGACGTGGGATAGGCAGATGTGGATGTTTGATGGTATTACAGATCTCGTCGCAGGATGGAGGCGAATCCTAGTAAGGCCGCCTTTTGCAATTGACTAATGGTGAATTTGTCAATGCCAATGGTGTCCAAGTGGTGCTCCAGTTGTTTTGGGATTGCACCCAAGGCGCCTATGACTATTGATACTATTGTTGTTATTATTATTGGTACTATTGGTGGTATTATTATTATTATATTGATATTATTAATTATATTGATATAATTAATAATAATATCAATATAATAATTATATTGATATAATTATTATTATTATATTGATATAATTATTATTATATTATTAATATAAATTTAAATAATAAATAATAAATTATTGGTAATTATTGTTGTTGTTGTTAGGTTCTGCTCACTTATTAGATCAGGATCATTTTGGGGGCGGGGGGAGATGTCGCAGGTGGTCAAACCCCACTGAATTAAACTGCCAAGCAGGAGAAAGGTGGAAAAGATGAAAATGTCTGATGTATTCTCTTCACAAGAAGGGGACAGAAGCCTGGAGATAGGGCCTGCAAAGAAACGTTTACACCATGAGGACTAGCAACCTGACGGCAGTTCAAGTGGCGCTTGAAGCTTGAAACGCTGCAGAAGGGAGCTCCAAGCAGCCAGCCGGACTCTTAAAGGCAGCGTTTGTGGACTCACTCTGGGGTTCAAGGTGGGGCAGGAGAGGCCGGGCACCCCCTCGGGCACTGCCCACGGCGACGGCGGCCACCATCTCGACGATGTTGCAGGCGGTGTTGACGCAGGGGTAGGTCTTCTTGGCATACTCGTACATGGAGGACCAAACGTCGTACGCAGAGCTGACCAAGGGCAGGTTGGTGACCCTGGTCACGATATTCTGGAGGGGAGCGAGAAAGCGGATCTCAGCCGGGATCCCTGGCCAGAGACCAGCTGCTTCCCAGATGCTTCTACAGCAGTGATGGCGAACCTTTTAGAGACCGAGTGCCCCAAAACTAGCCCCGCCCTGCTCCGCCCCCACCCCACCCACCGCCCCGCCACCCGCAGGGCCACTCACCACCTCCATGGCCCGCCGCAGATTGCCCAGGCGACCCAGCAGCGCCATGGTGGCCATGCCCTCCGCCCGCGCCCTGCAGCATCAACTGCGCATGATGGAGCGCGAGGGCGGAGTCTTGTCCCCGGTGCCCAGCTGCCATGTCCTTGGTTGTGCTGCTCCGTGTGGGCCGTGCTTTGGAGCGACTCTCCTCCGGGGGGGCTTCTGGTGAGGAGGGGGTCGCAGGGGGAGGCGGGGCTGGGGCGATAGCGTGCGTGCCCGCAGAGAGGACTCTGAGTGCCGCCTCTGGCACGGGTGCCATAGGTTCGCCACCACTGTTCTAGAGTGCCTGGACTATACCTCCCATCACCTCTGGGTGTTGCCCTTTGTGGCTGGGGCTGATGGGAGTGTCCTCCCTCTGGGGATCCTCCCACTACTCTTGCTAAGCCTTCTGACCCTGTCGATATGGGGAGTCGGCTTGTTTACAATTTATTTATTTATTTTATTTATTTATTTTTCATAATTTATATGCCGCCCTTCTCCCCACGGGACTCAGGGCGGCTCACAGCATATTAAAATAACACAACACAAACAACACAACACAACATTTCCCCTATAAAAGCCAATTAAAAACCAGATATTGATAGTCTGTGACATTATTAAAATCATTAAAAATTATCCCTATTTAAAATTCACCCTA